GCAACAACTTGTGAACAAAACATAAACAACTCAGTTTAAAAGTGGGCAAAGGACTCTTTTGTGTCCTGTACTTTTGGCGTCATATCCAAAAATTCATTGCCATAGTCATGAAGTTTTCCTTATATTTTCTTTTAAGAGTTTATAGTTTTAGTTCTTACAGTTAGGTTTTTTTAAAATTCAGTTTGAGTTAATTTTTGTATATGGTATGAGATAACAGCCCAACTTTATTTTTTTGCATGTAGATAACCAGTTTTCCCAACACCATTTGTTGAAAAAACTGTTCTTTCCCCACTAAATTGTCTTGGCACCCTTATTATAAATCATTTGACCATATATGTAAGGGTTTATTTTGAAGTTACCTTCATATTTTTAATTAGCAGTCTTGACAATTTTTATTTGGTTTTTAATTTGAATTTTTTTGTCTCTAAACTTTCTACTAAGCAAGATAGGTATTTAAGACTCTTATCAACCTTTATGCATACATTTTTCCTCCCTCCAAATCCCAACATAGTTATGAACACCCTGTTTAAAATTTTACCATTTGCAACAATATAGATGGAACTAGAGGGTATTATGCTAAGTGAAATAGACAGAGAAAAACAAATACCATATAATCTTATAAGTTAACCTAAAAAACAAAATGAACAAACAAAGCAAAAGCAAGCTCATAGATACAGAGAACAAACAGATGGTTGCCAGATGGGAGGGGATTGGGAAGCTGGTAAAAAATGTGAAGGGATTAAGAAGTACAATTTGGCAGTTACAAAATAGTCAACATAGGGAATAATACCGTCATAATTATGTATGGTGTCAGGTGGGTACTAGACTTATCAGGAGGATCACTTCATAAGTTATATAAATGTCTAATCACTCTGTTGTACGCCTGAAATAAATATAATACTGAATGTCAACTTTAAATGAAAAATAAAAATATAACATGTAAATTAAAAATAAAAACAAAAAAATTTTGAACACCATGTGCCTCACATTACTGGTACTCCTTATTTCATCCTCCTTTCCATCTTTATTTTTCTCTGTAACACTTATTATCATTTCATTATGTATTTTATCTAATTATTTTGTTTCATATTTGGTTCTCTCTCATATGTAAGCTCCATGAAGACAAACATACTTGATGATTTTGTTTATTAATATTACCTCTAGCACCTAGGATAGTTTCTGGAACATAATACAGTAGTCTCCATTTATCCATGGTTTCATTTTCCTTGATTTCAGTTACCTGTGGTCAGTTATTGTCCAAAAATATAAAATGGAAAATTACAGAATTAATTCATAAGTTTTAAATCGTGTGCCATTCTCAGTAGCATGATGAAATCTCATGCCATTCGGATCCTGACTCACCCAGAACATAAATCACTCCTTTGTCCATCATATCCACACTGTATACACTACTGCCCATTTGTTTCTTAGTAGCTTTCTGTGTTATCAGATTGACTATCTCAGTCTCAGTGCTTGTGTTCCAGTAACCTTTTATTTAATAATGTCCCCAAAGCAAAGGAGTAGTGATGTTAGCAATTCTGTTATGTCAAAGAGAAACCATAAAGTATTTCCTTTAAGGAAAAGGTAAAAATTCTTTACTTAATAAGGAAAACAAAAATTGTGTGCTGAGGTTGCTAAGGTCTATGGTAAGAACAAACCTTCTATCCATGAAATTGTAGAGAAGAAAAAAAAAATTCTTGCTAGTTTTGTTGTCACACCTCAAACTGCAAAAGCTATGGCCATGATAAGTGCTTAGTTAAGATAGAAAAGGTATTAAATTTGTGGGTGGAAGATGAGCGGAAAACATGTTCTGACTGACAACAGAATGTTGCACCAGAAAGCACTGAGCCTAAATGAAGACTTCAGCAAGGGATCCCTAAAACTAATGACACCAAGCTATTTAGTACAACAAGGAACAGTTACACAGACTCAGGAATAGATTTGGCATTGGATCATTTCACATCATCACAAGAACAGTGAGTATATTACGATATATTTTGAGAGAGAAACCACATTCACAAAAGTTTTGTTACAGTATATTTTTACAATTGCTCTATTTATTATTATTGTTGCTGCTCTCTTACTGAGCCTAACTGATAGTTTAAAGTGCTTCATAAGTATGTATGTATAAGAAAAAACATAGCATATTTTAGGTTCGGTACTAATAACTATTTTTTCTCATCAGTCTGTTTGACAAGTTTAAACTGATGAGTTAATTTCCAGAGACCCAGTTTACAAACTGGATTTTCTTCCTCCTTTGCAATTCCCAGCCAGAGGAAGCTTATTTCAAAAGCCTCAATTAGAGGAAGGTTGTTTCAAAAGCCTCAGTTTGGTTTTGGATCCTCTTCTTCTTCCTCCTCCTCCTCCTCTTCCATCCCCGCTCTCCTCTCCCCCTCCTTACAAAATTGTATGTATTTAAAGTGTACAAAATAATTATGTGATATACATTGTGAAATGATTGCAAAGATCAAGTTAATTAACACATTCATCACCTTACACAGTTACCTCTTTTTTATGTGGTAAGAATACTTACAATTTACTCTCAGCAAATTTCAAGTATACGATACCTTATTATTAACTATAGTCCCCATGCTATACATTATATCCTTAGAATGTATTCATTTTATAACTAAAATTTTGTAATAGCTCCTCATTTTCATCTCCCTGAACCCCTGGCAACCACCATTCTACTCTCTGTTTCTATGAGATCACCTTTAAAAGCCTCGATTTGACTAACAGGTTGAGTATGTCATGTATCATAACTAGACAATTTCCTTTAAGGAGTGTTCATTTAATAATTTAGCATATATTGCTTTTCTATTGTGATATA